TCTAATAAGTAATAAACCAAGTGTATTCCAGACAGATGCTTGTCTAATATCTGACTGCACTGACTCCTTCAACTTAGAAATAATTTCTCCAAGTTCTTCATGYKTGAGTTCTTTATCKRCACAATGATCAATTGTACTTCCTAGCAGGAGGCACTGTGCATGATGAATTTGAACCAAAGAAAGTAACTCAGGCTTGTCAATCTCTTCCTCACTCCGAAGTGATATTTCTGCTGCCTTTTCATATGCTAGCACTACCTTCTGTGGCTGACCCAACCTCTGGTACATTAGGCCAAGTATAAAATGTGCAGGGGCATTTTTGGGCATCTTCCTTGCAACATGAACCAAACCAGTTTTACGGCTGCTGACTTTTTCCTCACGGGATGCTGGAGCCCCTTGACAGTGTTGATCGACATCTGTATTAGGCCCACATTCAAGAGAACATTTGCCCTCGTTAATTCTTGAACGACACTTCCCCAGTTTATTTAACCGTTTAGCTTCTCCTTTTGTGGCATCAACCACAGCGTCTTTACATACTGAGGTACTTTTCTCCCCACAATTTTCTTCCTTAATGCTCCTAGTGGAATCAGGAGGCGCGATGGAGGCACAATCATCGTCGTCGCTTTCGGGAGGGTCGACATTGAGGTCAACGATGACAACCTTGGAGTAGTTGCTCTTATTCTTCTTTGAACTCTCGTCAATGGAATCCTTGACGACATCGGATTCCTGCTTAACCGGGACATTCTGGGTGTTGCTAACCTGCGCTAGGGCAACGACCTGCTGCTCGCCAGACAATTCTGCCATGTCTGGTCGACGGCCGGTTGTGGTTGCAGCCCCTTCCGGGTTCCTTTCCTTGCTGGAAAAGTACAACTCCATCAAGCGCCTTAATTCTCGGACGTCGTCCTTGATCTCGCGCACCTCCGTGCTGTTTTCCACGATCTTGAGCTCCAGTTCATGAACCCTAGTCATCAACTGCTCAAGGTCACCCATGACGCCTTGCTCTAATACCAAATTGTTATGGGCCCGCGAATAGGATCTCGTCACAGGTCGGTCCACGGGGAAAACCTCCTATTTTCCCTTGTTCCTCCCTTTTCTTGAGGAACCTATCTTGGCACCTTAATGGTGATTTATTCAAGAGATCACCAACTCTCCTCTACTCTGTCTTGACTGAGAATTTC